AATGAGTTTGAAGGATAGATTTTGCTTCATTGCACACTGTAATTTGAACTGAATTGCTAAGAGACATTTACTGCTGATATATTCTCACATCATTTGTGTTGCTTCAAGTGATATTTATTATCTTGGACCTCTGACTCCTAAAGTGATCTATAGAATGACCCTACTTTCTGAACTTGGTAACAACTGATAAATCAACTATGTTTTCCATTTCATAGAACTTGAATTAATTAAATCACATACATATTGTGTTACATTTGGGTTTCAAAATATAAACACAATATAATATATATATATATATATATATATATATATATATATATTTATTTAACTTTCCAACTCTCAAAGTTATGCCATCTTATTTATACACAGAATGTATCTTAAATAAATGCAGGCTATGTTTGGCATACATGGAATTGGAGCTTTGGAATTGAAATTGGTAGAATTGGAGAAAAGTAAGGCCTTGCTTGGTTTTGTTTTCTCAAAATTGATTTCAAGAACAGTTTTTAGCGAACGAGAACAGAAAACACTATTCATTTTTTTCAGTTTAAAAATCTATTTGGTTCGTAAAACTACAAAACAGTTTTTAGAGAACAAAATTTCAAAAAATTGAATCAAAATTTTTACAAATTCCACTAATTCCAATTTCAAAATTCTAATTCTATGCCGCTAGTCTTTAATTTATGAATTGAAATATTCATCATATTTGCAAGTTTAAGTAACCATTGTATTAAAAATTAAAAAAAATGTTTAAGTAACCAACAGTCTTGCCAAATACTGTTCCAACCCCAAAACCAGTGTTTCTTGATCTGCCCTACAAAACAAAGAAGATTGAGGCAATAATTTCGCTTAAAAACTTTACAGAACAAATTGTCCCTCTTCTGCCGAAGTCTCCGTGATTGATTGGCTAGAAGACATGTGAAAATCCCACATACTATTCCATTTAACCCAAAATACACGAGAGGAATCAGAGGCACCGATCTACAAAAATTTCGTCAATATAGAAAATTACTTGGGACTTTTCAAAATTCACAACTTGTCATGAAATAATCTTAAACAAACTTAGTCCTTTAATTAATCTAAGTGCCGCCTCCTCATTAACTTCGAAAAATATTAATAAATAATTATCAGAAAACGTCAAATGAGAAATTGCAGGAACTTTCTCGTCACTTTCGTCCCCAAAAAACACAAGCCATCGTTAAACACACATTCGTTACTCTCCTTCTTCTTAGCATAAATGAGATATGTGTTACCTTAAAAAAAAAAAAAAAAAAAAGGATTCCCTTGCCTTAAACCTTTGATGGCTTAAAAAAGAGAATTCCCTTGAGCGAATTCCAATCAGGATGACTTAAGCCACATAAAAGTGAGAATGAGAACAAATTCGAAAATGAAAGTGTGATAATAGCATAATTAAGTTATAAATAATAAAAATTTAAACGAGAGCGTGCGTGTGCTCGGAACATGAGAGCAATACATGTTGAGAAAGATTGTGTGAATAAAATTTTTCATTCAACTTCATATCCTTGATATAAAATTTTGAATCCTTAATCTATGTTTGCGGCACGGAATTGAAGCTTTAAAATTGGTGGAATTAATTTTTTTTTTTTTTCAATTACACTAATTCCATGCTGTCAAACATAACTTTATAGTTATATAAAGTGTGAACAAGTTCATAACCAATAAGAATATTATCAATTTCAAGAAAAAAAAAAAAAATCATAGTACGAGATCAATTCCAAATTAAGAAGCCCACCCTTCCCACCTAAAAAAGTAAAATAAAATAAATTGTAATAAATAATAATATACCTCAAGATTGGTTTTATCCAATTATACAACTTGTTATGACAATTAGCCAGTAGAGAGAAAATAATAGCATGAGAATAAGGAATTTGAGAGAGAGAAGAAATGAGAGAGGTGATAGTATGTGTTTTTTTTGGGAAGGTGGGAGGAAGGTGATTTTGATTCTCTGCTTGCCGTCGTGGAAGGTATCAATCATCGACAGCAGTCCAAATGTCTAGCAAGTATACTATGTACGACATGAGGTAGTTTATATTGTACTGTTAGCAGGGGTATTTTTGTCATTTCATTGTTGAAGAGTTTTCGTCTTTGTCCTTGGACAGTTGGAGCCGGATTGAATAGTCTATTGGTTCATCGCCCGGCTGAAGACCAAGTAAAAGTGCCACGTGTAGATTTTGAAATGTCTTAAGGGGCTATTTCAGTCAATTGCAGTCCAAGTCGTAATTGTTTGACTCAAACCATGCTGGTATGGCCAACGCGTCGTTCTGTGCATCAAAAAATTAAGCATGTGGTAGGGAGTCAATCAGTTTTATTTGATCCAAATTTTTAACATGGATTGTGTGACACAATTCAACACTTTGTTAATACATTATATATATATATATATATATATATATATATTGTTTATTAAATAAAATTATAATTTATTATTTAATTTTTTTTCCTTTAATTTTACAAATTTCAATTTTAATTTTTTTTCTTGTATTTATTTTTCTTTTTTAGTTTAGAATGTCATATTTGCAATCCATAAATGCACTCATTGATTTCCCTTGATTTTTCATAATGAAATTCATAACATAATTGTACCTTAAAAGTGAAATATGCATACTTTTCAAGATAATGTGGACTATGAGATTGTTCTTAACAAAATAGCATAATTTCCTTCTTTAAAACCGTGAAGTGAAGTTTACGACCATTTGGTTGTCTTGTCCAAATGCATTGTTTCAAGTAATTAAGTTTTAAATAAAATAAATAAAAACTTTGAACAATAGCAATTGTAATAATGCTATGTTTGAATCCAAAGTTTGAACCCACTAAACATTAAAATTTTACACATAAAATCGTCCCTTTAATTTTAATAATAGAAAAAAATAAATTTCTATTATTAACTGATGTAACAATTAAGGTCAGAAACACCTTAAAAAAGAATAATGCATTTTTAATTAATATTGATAAGAATTCTTGTTAGACACTGAGGCTTTGTTTGGATTGAGGGATTTAGAGGGACTTGGAGAGAAAAAAGAGGGAAGAATAGTGATGAGTGTGTTTGAATGGGAGGGAAAAAAAGAATTCGGAGAGATTTGAAGGGATAGCAATCCTTCCAAATCCCTCATTTGGAATCCCTCCAAAATTGACAAGATTTGGAAGGATTTGGAGAGAAATTGAGCAAATTACAAAAGCAACCTTGAGAGAAGGAGCAAGCTTGGTTGAGAGAAGGGTAAAATGGTAAATTATTCATTCCTTTATGTTACGTTTGGTGTGCAAGAATGGAATGGAATGCAAGTGGGAATAGAATGAAATAGTCATTCTCATTCTATTATTTGGTTATAAATATGAAATGTGTAGGAATTAAATGATAATAACCATTTTAATGTTTGGTTGGACCAATTTAAAATTTAGAATGGAATAAATTTCTAATTGAATCTATAAAATATCCCTCTTAGTAATAAATAAATTAAATTAAAATAACAAAATGATATTCTCTAATAATTTTTTAAAAATAAATGGTGGCAGTGGCAGTGGCGGTGGTGGATGGTGGAAAGCAGTAGTAGTGTAGGTGGTGGTGTTGGCAATGATGGCAATTGGTGGCAACAGTGGTGGTGAAAGGTGGCAGTGGTGTTAGTGGAAGGTGGTGGCAGTAGTGTGATGGTTGTGGTGGAAGGAGATAGTGGTGTAACTATGGTGATGGGGGAAGGCAGTAGAAGTGGCGGTGGTGGTGGAAGGTGGTGACGATGGTGATGGTGGTGGAAGGCGACAGCAGTGGCGGTAGTGGTGGCGGTGGCGGTGGTGAAAGGTGGTGACGGTGGCGATAGTGATGGAAGGTGGTAGAAGGCGATGGCGGTAGCGTTGGTGGTTGTGGAAAGCGGCAGCGGCGGTAGTAGTGGTGGTGGTGGAAGATGGTGGCAGTGGTGAAAGTCGATGGCGGCGGTGGTAGTGAAAGGTGATGAAAGGCAATGGTAGTGGTGATGGTGGAAGGTGATGGCGATAGCAGTGGTGAAAGGTGGCGGTGGTGGTTGCGGTAAACGGTGGCGATAGTGGTGGTGAAAGGCAATGGCATTGGTGGTGGTGGAAAGTGGTGGGCGATGGTGAAAGTCGATAGTGGTGGAAGGCAGTAGTAGTGGTGGTGGTGGTGCAAGGCAGAGATGATTGTGATGGAAGGTAACGGTGGTTTTTAGACTTGGAATATGAGGGTGTTTTGGGAAGTCGATTTTTTAAAATAAATTACTTGGGAATGAAATGGCCATTCCATAGGTTTAGTTGTGGAATGGATTTTTATTCCAATGGAATGGCTATTCCCACTTTAAGTTACATACCAAACAAATGAATGATTGGAATGAACATTCTATTCTATTTCATTCCTGCACACCAAACGTAGCATTATTTTATTTTCTATCCATCCAAATAAGAATATTACTCATCTATTTCTTTTTTTCTCCTATCCATCCAAACATAAATATTATTATATTTATCATTTTTTTTCTTTTCTCTTATAATTTTTTTTTTCTTTTTTCTCTTGTGTACCAAACAAAGCTTGAGTGATGCGTTAATGTATTTTCATATAGTACTGATAAGAGTGATTGTTGAACACTGATGTAATTAGCAATGTTATAAACACCTTACCAAAAGAGAGATTGTATTATTATATAATAGGATAAGAATTTTTATTGGAAACTATTTATTAGGATGGAACAAGTATTTCATGGACAATAATAACATTACTCTTTAATATTTTAATTTTAAAAAATTATTTACTCTTTTGGAAATTTATTTATTTACTACTATTTTATTCATGTACATATAACCGTCCAATTACGTAAATCTAAATAATAGAATCCACCAGTTGTGGACTAGGACAGCAAACGTCAATACCAAGGACTACCCAACCCCGAAGCACACTTCAGTACTTTGAGGGGCAAAACCGTAACTTCAAATAAAAAGCAAAAGAAAAACGGATCATTTAAAGTGGTCCTCGGTAATCTCCTCCCCACACGCATCAAACCTCCCTCTTCTAAAATCTTATGTGCTGTCTAGAGAGAGAAACCGCGTGCTATCGTCGTGAATCGTGATGGGTGGTGGCGGTGGCAGTGGCGCAATTCCGCCGTCGGCGGCGGCGATGGCTGGGATGATGGCGGAGCCGCAGTACTGTCCGGCCAAGGTGTCGGTGTGGTGGGACATCGAGAACTGTCAGGTCCCTAAAGGCTGCGAACCTCACTCGATCGCGCAGAACATCAGCTCTGCTCTGGTCAAGTTGAATTACTGTGGTCCCGTCTCTATCTCTGCCTACGGCGACACTAATCGGATTCCGGCGTCCGTCCAGCAGGCCCTCAACAGCACCGGCATCGCCTTAAACCACGTCCCCGCAGGTATATATATATGTCTATGTATCTACTTTCATTTTCAGTGATCGGATCGAAGTGAATTGTGGTTGTGGTGTTCAGATTTTGATTGATTGACGAGTTTGACTGTGGATGTGATGTGATCGAGTGGACATAACTGTGTGTAATCTGCAAGAGGAGTTGATTTTTTTGATAGAAGAAGATAATCGGTCTAAATCTACTTAGTTTCTTCAAATTGAACTAATGGTTTATTTCACAGTTGCTGATTTTTGTGGTAGAAGAAGACGATCGGTCAAATTCTATATAGTTTCTTCAGATTATTTTTGAGCTTTGACTTTGATAAATCTATAATCTAACGGTTAATTTCATAGTTTTGTGTGAAATATTGAATCTAGAAATTTTTTGTGGGAGATGATTACTAGATCTTGCTTGCTGGGGCAGGAATTGTTATTTTTAATCGTTCTTCTTTCTCTCTGGTCTCGCTGTGTGTGCATCAAGGGAATTTCGCCCGCCTTTTCTCTGTGAGTATGGTGCTGAAGTTATTCACGAGCAGAATCTTCAACAGGGGCAACTACTTAATATAGTAGAGAAACTCGTGGTCCTTTTTTCCCTTTAAATTTCTTAACCTTTTTTTGGGATTGCTTAGCAGAGGCTACTGTTTTTTTTTGCCACTTTAGTGCCTTTTTGGTTCAGTTTTCAGAGAAGTCAGAAAACTGTAGTTAAACTTGTTTGGTTGTTAGAAAACTCTCTTAAAGTGTATTGTGAGGCGTATTGTTTTCACAGATTTGTCTTTTACATTTCTTTGAAAACAGTTTTTCTGTTTTTTTATTTCTTAAGAATTGTTTTCAATTAACTGAACCAAACAGGCCCTTAATGTATCAATTTTCACTAGTTCATGTTATTTTGCAAAATATCATATATTCTGACGAATCTAGAGTTAGGACCTTACCTTAATTAAGTTAATCCCAGACATTTATTGCTTTAATATTTGAGATGTAAAAAAGGAAGAAAAGAATGTCTACATGCCAGAAAGCGTAAGCAGTACCTCCCCATTGATGAAGCCAAGGAACTGACAGAAGAAATTCTAGTCTGTTGTTCAGTCCTGATCCTCGTTAATCAAAGGTGTTGAAAGTGCAGGCTGGCCATATATCTTATTTTTGGCATTGGTTGCACAGGGTGATCACTTTAGATTTGAATCTGCACCCTCATGTTTGTTAGGATGAACTTTTCTACCAGTCCAACTAATTGCTTCAAGGAGCTCATGGTTCACGTGTATGTTTCTTAATTTAGAAGAGAATGTTGATAACATCCCACTTAGTAAATTTTTTTTCTAATCCAAATTAAGAAATGTGTCTGCTCATACACATGTGAAGCGAACTCGTTATGGTTGGTCTTTACTTACGTCAATGGGCGAGCTGCTGCTTATGATTTCTGGCTTCTGAGTTCTTCTTCTAATATTTGTTGATGAAGTAGTGCAGCACTGCCTGACCTTGTATCAATCATGCCTCTGTAATTACTGCAATTTAGTGTATGCATTTGATAATTAGAACAAATTTGAAAATTGAAATTTATGTGACAGGTGTTAAAGATGCAAGCGATAAGAAGATTCTGGTGGACATGTTATTCTGGGCCGTTGACAATCCTGCACCTGCTAATTATTTGTTGATCTCTGGTGATCGAGACTTCTCAAATGCTCTCCATCAACTGCGGATGAGGAGATACAATATCCTTCTGGCACAACCTCAAAAAGCATCTGCACCCCTTGTTGCTGCTGCAAAGAGCGTATGGCTCTGGACAAGTCTTTTGGCTGGAGGACCGCCACTAACAAATGGTGAATCAGCCCAATTTGTTAATAATAGCTACTTATCGAATTCCGACACATTACCAATTCCAGTTTCCGATTCCCTTCAGATAAACCAATCCGTGGATTTCTTTTATGAAAGCCCCCATTTGGGAAGTCAGAAATTCTTAAATACAGGGAGGGCAGCTGATACTAAAATTAAAGGGAAACAAATTCGGAAAAACTTGAATCAACCTGGTATGTCAAGAACTGCAAGTGCACCAGTAGGGCTTCAAGAAGACCAGAGTAATGTTAACTCTTATCAACCTGGATTTGCGCAAGCTAAGCAATTCAAAGATCCCCAGGATTTATCCGGTTCTTATAATCCCAAAGTCCCCTTTAGTGGACCGGCCCCGAATTTCATTACTGGCAATCCTGACCTTTCCCGGTCCAATAGCAATAACCTTCAGAGCACTTACCAAAATCATTATCCACAGCAAGTAAGGCCGAACCATGCGCAACCTGTATTTACACCAGGTAATATGTTTCCACCTGATCCACGCACCCGTGCTCCTCATTTAATGCCTCCCATGCTTGATGGACCAAGCTTTACTTCAGGTCCTCTAACAAATGTGCCTGACATCAGTAAGCTAAACATTTCTGGATATCCTAGCAGTGAATACAACCCCCCTATTTCTCAACCACGAAATGGAGGAGAGATGAAACAAAATTTTATAGATTCTCCGAATCACGTTAATTCAAATGGCCCGCAGAGGACACATAATGTGCATAGCACGCCATCATTAAGCCATGACACGACAAACAACAGGTACAAGCGTGGTTCAGAATTTCAGCCGCCGTCTTCCTCAGCAATGGGTACCACTACTGTCTCTGGACATGGTGTATGGGGGACTCCAGGATGTCCAAAACCTTCTGAATATGTCCAAGGCCTTATCGGTGTCATTTTACTGACCTTGAACACACTAAAAAATGAGAAGATTATGCCAACTGAAGCAAATATAACAGATTGCATTCGTTTTGGAGACCCCAGACACCGCAATACTGATGTTAAGAAAGCATTAGAGAGCGCCATTGAGCAGCAGCTGGTAGTAAAGCAGAATTTGGGTGCTCTGCAGTTATATGTTGGTAAGAATGAGAGATTATGGAAGTGTGTGAACCCTATTGGGGGTAATCCTAAGCATTACCCAAAGGCAACGTGGGATGAAATCCAGAATTTTCTATCATCTTCTTCTGGACGATCTGCAATATTGACTTCTCAATGCAAGTAAGTGCTTGTTAGTTTATCTCTAGTTATTTGGACGTGTTTTAAATTTCATCTGATTACAAAGATTTCCTTTTGAAATCCCCCCTCTATCAATAGGTATGAAGCAGCTACTATTTTGAAGAATATGCGCTTAAAAGAACTTCCTTTGGGTGACATACTTCAGATTCTGCACATGGTAGTGAACATGAAGAAGTGGATAACACATCCCCAGTCAGGATGGCAACCGGTTAATATTACCCTAGAAGAGATGAACCCTGATGTGGGGGTAGTTGCTGGTACATAAGCTGATTGAGATACTAGTGAAATTGGGGAACGGGGCCAGTAGAATTTTATGGGGTTTAAAATAGATGCTTGTTGATGAGAACCTGTAACAGGTTAGTAGGCTCTCTCTCCCAAAAACTATAGGTTATGCACAGTCGATACGTGTTGAAGTAGGCGCATAGAGATTGCATATTTTCTTTTTTATTTTATTATTGTCGTAGTTCATTTCTTAGGGAAATGAGTAGGCATTGATCGGGAAGGAGTCCGGTTAGATGTCATACAAACAACTTTTCCGAGCTTGTAGGGTTGCTTGTAACTTCCTACTTTGGTCTGCTATTTGAGGGTAAGTCCACTGGTAAGTATCCATTCTTGGGTTTTGAATTCATCTGTTCTGCCATGATCCGACTGTTATAAGCAGGATAAGTCCACTGGTATGTATCTCTTCTTGGGGTTTGAGTTCACCTGTTCTGCCATGATCTGACCGTAAGCAGCAAATGTCCAACTTTACGAACATGTATTTCTTTGGGTGGATTGTAATCATCCACCTTCGGTGTTCCATATGGTCTTTTAACTTTTTGGGAAGTTAACACATCTGTAGCTTGTCGTTAGCCAAAGTCTTTTAAACGAAACATTCCCGGGAAGTTCAAAGAAAACTTTTGTTCGGCGCAGAAACCTTCAAGCTAGGTATCTAAAGCATAGACTAGTATGTTTATGCATCTTATCGAGAAGGATTAGTTTGTTTTCACTTGTTACCTCTAGCACAATTCACCGAGTTAGCAGAAGTGGTTCTAAACTGCGACGTACAACAATTAATTGGTGGAAGTTATGTTCTGGTGTTGCTCATTGATTCAAAATGGATGAGGAATTTGGCCTACTGAGCAAAGGAAAATAAGATTCTTGCAACATGAGATACAGCAAAAAACATCTGAAGCTAAACAGCAGATTGTACTATTCTGATTAATTTGGGGAGGAAGTCCCGAAGTCCCATTTATTGGACAGTGTCGGGTGGAAGCTGAATAATCACATGATTCATATCACATAACCAAGGTACTACGTGAGGAAATTTAACGCCTTTGCTTTCTACAGAGCTATGAAGTTATGGTACAGTATGGTAAGTTGTTAACTGGATGCTGGGATTGCGAAGCTTAATTTTCTGTTCTGGTTTACTAAAGACAGGTATATTCTGGTACTTCATTTGTTTGGCCCGAAATGGTTGCTGCTATTTGCCCCCCCTGTTGTTGAAGTACTCTTGTAGATACATGTATAATTTTTGAGGGTGAACCTAGTATGCTCATGCATGAGCTTATTAGCCGAATTCTGTTCAATAATCCTGCTATTTATGTATCAACTCTATTACTTAATGGTTACTACATAATTTGGTTTCAGCTCAGACTGGCACTTGAGCAAACCTGTATTTGAGAGCTTGCATGATTGGTTTTGGACTTCCAAGTACTCATCGTTACGACTACCAAGTGTTGCTATGAAATTCCGAATATTCTACTGATTGGATTTGGTCTGAATTGTGCTCGGTTTTTCATCTTATACACTTAATATGGTTTTGGTGTGTTACTTTTGGTATATGGAATTAACTGTCTTGGACCTTGATTTGAGAAAAACTTCGTTTGAGCCCCGGTGGATGGGGACTAAAATTCTGTGTCCTCTTCCGTTAGTGATGCACATTAGGAAAATATTATGATGTTTAACCTTTTGCATAATGTGCATCACTAACTGAAAGGGGGATAAGTCTACTGTTTTGCATGAGAGGATTTTGATCTGTATTGCATAATATTATCTTGCATATTTGCAGAGGTAGTTTCAATGTTCTACATCAATTATATTGCCAAAACAAAATTAAATCACATGGTTAGGGAAATACATTTAACTCATAAGTTGATGTTCCTCTGTTAGTTGAATGCGCATGATATGGACGGTGTTGTTTATATCTTGTCTTATACATGAAATTTGGAGTCTTGCAATTGGAATTGTTTTGCGGGTGGTGCCTATTTTTAAACTTTCCTTATTTTTTTTAGTGGATGGAAAAGAAAGAATGCCAAAAAGAACGTCAAATGGTTGATCAATCACTGCCTATAGGATTATATGCATGCAGCATTCTATTTTTGCCTAAAATACTCTATTTTTAATTCGTGTTTTAACACATTATTGTGCGTTGAAATTTAGAATATTAAAATACGATTTAACTGCTTTGAAACCCTAGACCGTAGATGGGACTGTCTTCGTGTTTTAACACATTGTTGTTCATTGAAATTTAAAATATTAAAACACGATTCAACTACGATGAGACCCTAGGCGTGACAGTCCCAGATAGCACCTCCTTAATAGTATTATAGTATACAGTCCGTGGACGTCGCACAATGTGTCCCTGTTATATTAGTGGTTGGGCGGCGCAATCTGAATCATCTGATACCTAATCACGCAAGCATTTGGTGAAATTTGACCAGTTTGAAATGCAACCCTAATAATGCAGGGTCCATATGTACTAGTGAGACAAATGTTCCGCGTGTTGTAGCATATCAACTAATATTCATGTCACTTTCCTAAGGAAAAAAAATACAATGCAAGTCCAATAATTAAGCAATAATTTAGATGATTCAATTACCACTTATCATTTGTTTATGGTCAAATAATTTAAAGGGCAAAAATTATATAAAGTTTGTGTTCCATCATTCAATAAATTTAGTGGAAAGGTTTCGTCATGTTTATCGGCCTAAAAAGCCATTTGAGATGCCAGAGCAAAAGTGAATCTTTTTGAAAAATCTCCATTTTCATGGCAAACAAACTCCTCTAGGAATTGAAAATTTTACTATTTTAAACGATATATTTGCTGTGTCATCCTTCAATCACTCGCTAGGATTAATAATAAATAGTTTCAGTCTTATAATTTTGTGGGTGAAATACAACTAATAATTATGGCCTCTAGAAGGTACAATAGTAAAATTGTTCTATTGTAATTTGGAGGTTACGAGTTATAAATCAAAAACCACCTCTCCAACAGGGTTGTGCACTAGATTTGCATAGTTTCAAGCTTCCTCAACTGATTGAGTGACATTGAAATTGAAGAAGTTTGATATTTTCCAAGGATTTTGAGTATTTTTAGAGTCTGAAAACATAAATAAAATCCACTCAACACTAGTGGTATTTCAGATTGGAAAAGGCTATGACGAAGGCGTTCAATTGAACTCACGCACTCATTTGTCCCTGCAGGGTACTCAAACCAACACCATTCAATGGTCTTTAGCGTATAATTTTGAATTAGGTACGGTGAAAAACGTTGAGCTCAAACCAACACCATTCATTGGTCTTTAGCGTATAATTTTGAATTAGGTACGGTGAAAAACGTTGAGGAAACGGAGTGTGTCTCAGAAATAAGAGATGCGCATGTGCAGAAGAAGAAGCTCTTGTGTTTTCTCTTTCCCTCAACTGGTGTGTTTAGTGGTTTATGGGGTGCACTTATGGTGGGAAGGCAAGGGAAAGCTCGGGGAAGAAAATTTGGTAAAGAAGAGAAGAGTAAGTGGAGGAAAAGTAGAAGAAGAAAAAAGAAGGGATAGTGAATGAACAAAAAGACGTAGCAAAGAGCAGGAAAGCAGAAGTAAACAAAATTTTAAAAATAGGTAAAAAAATACTGAAAGAGTAGGAGAGAGAGAGTAATATATATATATATATATATATATATATATATATTCTCTTGCTTTTCTTTGTGGGAGAGAGAGAGAGTAATATATATATATATATTCTCTTGCTTTTCTTTGTGGGAGAGAGAGAGAGCGGCTGATGTAATCTAACAAATTTTATTCTAAGCATGCAGCGCTCGAAATGTTATGTTAATGTAGATATGCATGTGCACAAGTAAAGGACCCGGACAGCATCCTATTATATAGTTCAAGCTTGGCAAGAAACAAATTCAGGGGGAAAAAAAAAAGGTTAGAGCAAACGAATATTTCAAAAAGAAGTGATGACTCTAAATCTGGCAAAACGGGCGTTTGAAATTAACAAATCCGTACTAGGGATTTCATACTAGACTACACGAAGCCTCCTTTATGTGTAAAGCTCAAGTGAACTCATCCTAAAAATGATATATTCAATCAATGATTGAGAAGAGGAAAATAACATCAATTTGAAACAGAAATCTGGGATGTGAATTGGAATTTTTTAAAAAAATTCTGTAAGATGACATGGTCGAAGCAAGGTTAAAAAGGCTCGCGTTCTCTACATGAGTTAATCACCTAGTGAATATTTTGTGAACTTCCGCCACCACAAGTTATACCCCTTCATAGTGTTGGTAGTAAATTAATGCTCTTCGAATGTAAAGCACAACACCACAATTGCACCAGACATGAAGCCAACTATGCAGGGCCATTTGAGCTTGCCATACATCCCGATTATGAATGGTGACAAAAACACAAAGGCAATACTAAATGTTCCCCAATGTCGATCTACCAAAGATTTTTCGATCCTAAGGTAGAAAACAACATGCCACAAACCTCTAAGATTATTGACCCTGTTGGCTAACTCATCCAATTTAAAATTATGACGTGTCACCAGTTTTTAAACACTTCAACCTCAAGATAATTAGAATTTAGAAGACAACGAACTACCCAGATCCCAGATTCCAGATTCCAGATTCCAGATTCCACATCTGGTAAGAGCTAGGGCCCAAAGACCTCTGGCTCATTGAGATATAAACAAACCACCATCCCGTTAAGGCCATTTTTATTTACTAGATCAGATGAAGAGGTTCTATGCTGCTAACCACAATAGTGGCATCACTTTACAAGAGAAACATGAACGCTGTATATTTTATTATATGCTTTGAGACTATATACACTAATACTGGTGCCTCCATAATCTAATTGCTAGTTCTCAAACATGCAGAACAGCTATATATTTTCATGCCTTAGGTTCATGTTGCAGCCACAGGCCAAAAGATTATACATCGACAATAGGGAACTCTATTTTATACTCAAAACTGAGGCAACAACTTCTTGAAATTTCTTTGACCCACTACATCTTCATTCAGTCAGCCTGTGAATAACTCTAAATTTAATAAGATTTAAAAAGAATGCACAGTGCATTTCCATCCAGTTAACATTTTTCCCAGATTCAGTAGGGTTCACTCATGAGCAATAAACTAAAATGTATCAATAACTCTAAATTAAATCAGATTTAATAAGAATGCAAGGTACATTTCCATCGAGTTAACATATTTCCTGGATTCAGTAGGCTTTGCTCATTGGCAATAAAGTTGATAAACAAAAACGTATCAATACTTTTGTAGATATAATCATGTGGTTCCTGCTTCATAATCTATCATAGACTAAGATGAGGATCATTTGATCATATGAAAGTGCCTTACTTCTCTTAGAAAGGGAAGATCTCTATTTCCTAAAGATATTAGTAACAATGATGCTGACAATAGTTGTATAAAAACCAAGAGAAAATAAGGCTTACAAAAATAGGAATTCACATTAGTAGAGGTGCAGTTAAACACAGAGTACCAATTTTTACTTTGCAAGGAAAGTTAAAGAACATATTGATATCACAAGTTCTTAATTATTTCTAAACTAGACCAGGCTACAAAGTTGATTAAACAATGATATGTACGAAGAAAAGCCCGACTTGGTCCAGCAGAAACAACTCACAGAAGCTACTTCGCTGTCGATCACAACTCCATGATAGTAACCACAAAATGAGCATCCAGAAACCCACAGAACCTGCAAGTAGACAGAGACATTCACATAAGTAAAACCGGACAAACACCAGCTTAATCCAGAAAACACACCACTTTAACTTAATTCCCCACCTTGGTTTATCACATTATTCACACAACCTTCTTAGGAGATCTCAAATTATTGTTGTGAAACAAGGTTGTTCTCTTCCCTATCACGACTGTTTTGCATATGCTGCAGCTGATCCACTGGTGAAACTGACAACACCACATTCTTCACTTTCTCGCCCTGTGCATTATCATTCTCTAAATGACCCAAATGCCCAATCCTTTCACTTTCTTCCCCATTAACATGATTCTGAGCATACGGTGCCTCAGTACCGAAAACAGGATTCACTCTCGCTTTGTCAGTGTCCTTCACACTCATTGGCACACAATTACTAGAAGAGCCTGTTACAGCATTTTGTGCCATTAAAGCCTCAGTACCGAAAACAGGACTCACTCTCATTTTGTCACTCTCCTTCACACTCATTGGCACACCATTACTAGGAGAGCCTGTTACTGCATTTTGTGCCATAAATGCCTCTTTACTGAAAACAGGACTCACTCTCACTTTGTCATTGTCATTCACACTCATTGGCACACCACAACTAGGAGAGCCTGTTACTGCATTTTGTGCCATAAACTCTTGCAATCTTTCTTTTTCCCTCAACTCCACAGCATTCAATGATGCCAAAACCTCCGAAGCAACATCAATTTCTTCAGCCCCATACTGGCTACCAATCTGATTACCAACACTGTCAGCATTACCACCCATTTGATTCTTCTCCTGAGCACCCACATTACCAGACCCCAAAATCTCGGCGGACACCACCTCCCTACTCTCCAATTTCTCTTTCACAGCAAGAACAGCGATGTGCTCCATTGCCTCCCTCGCTCTCTTCCTCGCAAAAGCCGCCTCCTTCGCCCTCTTCTCCGCCTCCTGCCTCACCACCACTGCCGCTTTATTCATCGAAACCGCTGCAATCTTGGCTGCCGCAAGCAGCACTCTCGCAGCCTTCTCATCAATGGCCTTGCAGTCCTCTCCGTCTTTCGCCTTCTTGACATCGAAAATCAGGGCGCTAGGGTTTGAGCAATTGGGGCAAACGTAGCGGTTGGGGATGCTCGAGCCGACACAGTGAGAGTGAGAGGAGGAGTAGCATTTGAAGCAGGTGACGTGGTCGTTTTGGGCGGGTGGGGACTTTTCGTAGACGAGGAAGCAAGTGGGGCAGAAGGACTGAGGGTGGAGTCGGAGGACGCAGGAGGTGCAGAGGCGGCGGAAGATCCCGCGGTGGCGGACGTGGTGGAGGAGCCGCCGCTCTACGACGCCGCAGTTGCCGCACGACGTGGGGATGCGGACGGGGGCGGTGGCGGTGGTGTCTTGCTTCATCATCATATCACCATCGCATGAAAAATATCAAATCTTTTTCAAGAGAGAGTAGAAAATTTCAGATATAAACCCTAAAAATTGAACCTATAGAATCCATACATATACATCTAAGATATATTTTTGTCAAAAAAATTAGGGCTTTACAGAGAATTAGAATGCGAAAAGCCTAGATTATATATAAATATGTGGTAAATAGAAAGATTGAAATGATAGGAAGCAAAGAACTAGGGTTTATAAGATGAAATTTTCTCGGAGTTACAGTGGAAGAGAGAGAGATGGAACTGGGCTTCAACTAAAACGTCGTCGATTTGTCGTTGTTGGAGATTTAATTGGGTTTCGTCAATACGACATCGCAAGAGTTGGTGGATTTTTATGACCGAGAAAGCTCATGAGGCCTGACCTGAGCCCAAAAGCGAAGTGAGTGGGTTTGGGCCCAAGTACTCGAAGGGTAAACTAACCCAAAAGTTTGGATAAGTAACACAACCACGATTTATTATTGTTATTTTTGTATCCAGTAAAAACTTTAACTCGACAATATAACAAATGTGCTAAAATTTTGATTTAATAATATTATAATGTTGCAACACGATATAATATGTTGTATGAATGTTCTATCTTTGAAATAAACTTTTTTAACCTTCTTACATGAGTGTTGCATTATGATATAGCTGTTTAGCATCCGTGCGCAAGAGGGGATCCAAGTTCTACCATATAATCGTTTCATGCCCGTGATCCGACAATGCTGACTGGAAGGACCATCACTTAACGAATAAAAGTTACTCTAGGGACAACAAACCGATCTCCCCAAGAGCTCACATCTGTTCTTGCACCATACTAATTTAAATTTTGGCTTGGATTTTCAATCGCTTTCCTTCGACTTATGCTTTGTTCACCATGTGGTCCCATTCTTTAAAATCTTGAAAATTTTGTCATAAATAAGTTTTGCATTTGTAGAACATATATATTGTTTTTGTTACTCTTCTTTGCCGTCAGGTGAACCTTTAGTACTGGTCGATGAGTCATCATCACCATGTGGTCCTGTTCTTTAAAATCTTGAAAATTTTGTCATAAATAAGTTCTGCATTTGTAGAACATATATATTGTTTTTGTTACTCTTCTTCACCGTCATGTGAACCTTTAGTACTGATTGATGAGTCGTCAAAATTTATCGAAGTTGGAGTTGATAGATTGTTTTAGAATGAACCTATATTGTTGAAATCGTTTAATAATTTTCAAGCTCATTGATATAAAAAATCAACAAAGCCTCTCTTGTTGGTGTGAAATATCTTTATGCTATATTTGGGAGCAACCGAATTGATGCATTGTATTTGAAATCGGATAAAATTTAGTTCAAACATCCCATCGCAAATTCACTTTAGAATGGACGTTGGGCACGGAAAAGTGTGATGTGAAGACATATAGTACTACTATGTTGTTATTTGATGAAATGGGACTAGACAAAAAAGGAACATGGTATCTGATGATCTCTTTTTTTGTCAATATCTTGTGGAAATTTCTAGGTATTTTCATCTTCTCACATGACTTTACTAGTACTAGTACCAAAAAAGAAAGAACAGTCCAAGTGTCAAACTGGGTGCGGCCTTTGTGTTTCTCAGTCTCTGCTTTTTATTTGGTTACAAACAAACAAGGCACATTCCTGATTTTGTGGACTCTCAGCTTCTTCTACTGCTCTCTGTAACAAGCTCATCAAGGTTTGGCTTCTGAACCCATCCTCAATCTCATTACACATGATCTATGTTAACCACAACCTGTTGATTATCAATTATATGTATATATATATCAATTTGTTCAACATATATCTCTTGCTTTTTTTCTTTTTCTTTTTTCATAATTATATATCTCTTGCTTTTCTTTACATTTTGTCACTGTTTAATTGTAATTTTTTTTACACTATCTTGTTTGTTTATCATATATATATATATATATATATATATATATATATATTGATTATCATTGTCAAATGTGGTTTCACACACACATATAAACATGTATTTGTAATCTTCTTTTCATACTTAATTGGAACATTTTCTGTATATCATTTACTGCTTCTGGTCTTGATGCTTTCTTTTATGGGTTTTATGGTGTAGAAATTAGAAACACAATTTTAGTAAAATATAAAATTAAAAAAATTAAAATTAATTTGCTCTATTGTTCTACAAGTTGATTATGGGTGCATAGTTCCTTCATTTCTCTTGATCAACGCTCCCAAGGGGTCATGACTTTATTAGTTGCATCATAAAGTTGAATCCCAGTTCCAAGCGAACTAGTAATATTTCGGAGCCCGGATCCTCTGCTGTGTACAACACCGTGTTGTAAGGTTTGGTTTTTCAACACAATTAAATCTGTTTTCAACACATTAAATCTACCTATATCAGCCACATTAATTAATGTGTTGAAAAGCACAAATAAATATGTTAAAAAACAGAATTAATGTGTTGACAAAGGATCCGGCACCATACTTCGGCCCCTTTGTATTGTCAATCAATTTATCGCATATTATATATATATATATATAAAATAGAAATTCTAATAGAAAGATCAAAAGGGCTATTTTGAGTTTACTCCCACGGTTCAGTATTTCATATGTTATCAAACTTACTTGTAAATCTATGAAGAAAATGACAGAGGGAAGGAACAAGTGGTGGTGTTTTCATGGCTATTAGGGTTTTTAATGAAAGCTTACCCGATTAGACAATGGAACAACTTTACTTTTTTATAAAAGGCTTTTGGGAAAAATTATGATAGATAAAACATCATGTTAAACCTATATAACATGTCCAAAACTAAAACAACATATTTCTCATACTGTCGTGTGATTAATTTGTAATTTGACATCTATGACAATTGAAGAATGTTCAAGCAGAAAGATGGTAAACTTGCTTTATTTTTTTTTTTATTTTTTCAATGAAATCAAGCTTCGGAGCTGGATCAAGTATGTCAATACTTGCAAACTCACTAATTTAGCACCATATTTTGGAACAAAATCGACTTTCACGCGTCCAAGAAGCAAATAAGACTGCTAAGTAATTGAATTTCCTTTGCAAAATTGTGTTCCTCTATCTGAATTATATAGTCTTCAAAGTTTGTCAATTGAACTTACCTTTGAATCAGTCTTTGTTGCTGAGAATTCTCGGAACATGGGGCGTGAACACTTTTTGGTGGCTTTCTGTTTATGGGCTTTGACATGCTCTTTACTTCCGGCTTCATCCGATGCCTTAACGAGGATCGGTTTGAAGAAGCGGAGCTTGGATCTTCAAAGCATTAATGCTGCTAGAATGGCGAGAATGAAAACCAAAAATGCAAAGGGTGTGAAAGTGATGCATAATAATTTGACGGATTCGGATGTAGATATAGTAGTCTCTCTCAAGAACTATTTGGATGCACAATACTACGGAGAGATTGCTATCGGTTCACCTCCCCAGAAATTCAGTGTCATATTTGACACTGGCAGCTCCAATCTATGGGTTCCATCATCAAAATGTCATCTTTCTGTGAGTTCTGTTCAATTTCGGTTTTGTTATCTTCAATATTATCCTAATTACATCATTATGAATTAATGAATAAATCAAAATTACTTGCAGATTGCTTGCTTATTCCATTCCAAGTACAAGGCTATGCGGTCCAGTACATATACTAAAATTGGTAAAGTTTTCCTTGATTACGTTTAAATTTTCATAATGCTGATTTAAAAAAAAAAAATTGTGATGTTTTGAATTTATATGGGATTTATGCTCAAATTGTACTTGTTGAATCAGGAAACTCTTGTGAAATACATTACGGATCAGGATCAATTTCGGGCTTCTTCAGTCAAGATAATGTTGGAGTTGGTGATCTTGTAGTCGAAGATCAAGTCAGTTTATTGTATAGTTTTGAGTTCTATTCCAAGATCAGGATTATTCTGCCTTTGGTGATGATCTAACAAGTCCATTCTTCAGGTTTTCATCGAGGCTACACGAGAAGGACTTCCGTTTGTAGTGGCAAAGTTTGATGGGATACTCGGGCTTGGATTCCAGGAAATTTCAGTTGGCAATGCAACTCCTGTCTGGTAATGTTTTGCTAAAATTTATTCGTTGGAATGTGTTTTAAATTATTCATTCTCGAGACAGAGAAGGTTATGTTTTCGTATCTTCTGTTCTTCCTCTCTTTTGCATTCGATATGCTGATTCTTGATGTGCTTACAGGTACAACATGGCGGAACAAGGTATTTTAAGTGACGATGTATTCTCGTTTTGGCTTAATCGGGATCCGGAAGCAAAAGAGGGAGGTGAGATTGTTTTTGGTGGTGTTGATGAAAAACACTACAAGGGGAAGCATACTTACGTACCTGTTACTCAAAAGGGTTACTGGCAGGTTGGTGGTGAAAAAAATGCTGAGGTTTCCAAGAAACTTCATCCCATTTTTTAATTTAAAAATTAAAATTTGCTGAAATTTTTGATTTTGTTTTTCTTTACTTTCAGTTTGAAATGGGAGATGTTTCTATCGGGAACTATTCAACAGGTAATTTCTTACATTATTTGCAGACACTGCAGTAATATGTTTCTTTAGCTTGACCATCAAACAATATTTGTCTGTCAAGATTTCGAGTGTGTGAGGTGGAAAGTAAAGGTAAGGATTAGAAATTTGGGATGCCGTTGTTTTTTCCAACTAGGGCTAGCCCAGTGCACAAGGTTCTTGGGGAGAGTCAGATGTACGTAATCTTACTTCTACATGGAAAAACTGTTTTTTGTCCAGTGACCTATTCTTTCCAACTATTGCCAGGAATTGATGTCTATTTCAGTCACATACTCTGCACATAAAAACTTAATCTAGATTAGATACTAATCCGTGAAATCTAGTGATTCTGAGGTCTGATCTGGTTAAGGTTCTTGATTTAAAAAAAAACCATATTCTATTCCTTAAGTAATTTTGTGAAGTGAATTGATGTCTATGTGAAGCATTATATGACTCTGTGAATAATGTGAAGTAAGGATTTATATGTAGGGAATTGATCTGTATTATATTTACGTACTCTGCACATAGAAACTTAATCTAAGTTTACACTATTTGAAGTTTAAGAAACCATATTCTATTCCTTAACTTAACCAACTGTGCAAAGCCTAACAAAGATTGATTGAGTTTCTAAATTTATGAGTACCCTTTATTTGTTTCAGGCTTTTGTGAGGAGGGCTGTGCTGCTATTGTGGATTCCGGAACTTCCTTGCTCACCGGTCCAACTGTAAGTGCTTCCACCATTTTGACAGTTGCGTACTGTTGGAGACATCCTTCAGATTGATCTCTCATCTTTCTTCTTTATTCTCCTTCCAGTCCATACTTTTTGTGAACGTTTTTATAATCAGCATATCAATTTCAGCCTATTGTGACCGAGATCAACCATGCCATTGGAGCAGAAGGAATCATGAGCATGCAATGCAAAGAAGTCGTTTCTCAGTATGGAGAATTGATATGGCAGCTATTATTATCAGGGGTCCGTTTTAAATTTAAATTTATAATTTTCATTTTTATTTCTTTTCGCCTTTAAATTCTTTAAGCTTCAAAAAGGGGGTCTTAGAGATTACTTCCATAAACTGCAGGTGCAACCCGACAAAATATGTTCACGGATTGGTTTATGTTTCTTCAATGGGACTCACTCTGTGAGGTCAGGAACCCTGTATTAGTTACTTAATTTTCAAATGCTTGCACTGTCTTGACTGTATCATGGCTGTGTTTTCTCTGTACTTTCATTTTGAAACTCATGCTTCTGTGGAGCACATCCGCCTGTGTTCTTTAAAGAGCCGGTCCCAACTCCGGATAAAGGAGGAGGGTCGTGTTAGGTAGCTTGACAGCTAGCGTAAAACTTTGTCATGGCCAATATGAACACGAATCTTATAAATACACACGATAGCCGACCCCAAGTAATTGAGAAAAAAGGCTTATTGTTTTTATTGTTGTTGTTGTTGCTCCCCGCGGAGCACAATAGATAGAAATGGATGTTCTGTGACATTGTTGGAGTGAACACAAGAATTCTTCGATTATTAGCACACCAAAATTTAAAGCATGAAATCATAGGCTTTGCGTTGACAATTATGAACTTTAATACTAGGAACACTTGTGATCAACGTCACACTTAGGGTTGCCTGGTTATATATAGGAAAGTTCGCCAAATATTAACTTTAGTTGACGTCGAACCTAATTGTGTGGCAGAGCTAATATTGAAACAGTAGTGGAAAAGGAAAATGAGGGAATTTCAGCTGGGGACAGTGCTCTGTGCACGGCTTGTCAGATGACCGTTGTTTGGATCCAGAACCAGATGAGACAAGAGATAACGAAGGATAAAGTGCTGAACTACGTGAATCAGGTAAGCCGGTCTCAAAATGTGCATCGTTAGAAACCAAAATTTCACTCATATGTCATATGAATATATACATTTTTCGTGTTTTGGTAGCAGTTGTGTGAGAGCCTACCGAGTCCGATGGGAGAATCAGTGATCAATTGTAACAGCATTTCGAAAATGCCAAATGTTACATTCACCATTGGAGACAGAGCTTTCAACCTCACACCAGATCAGGTTTGATTCATGACACATCTTCTAGTTTATACATACAAGTTTTTTCCCTCCACATCTCTTCTAATTCATGAAGCTCTCATCTGTTCTTGTGATTCAGCATGGAGTACAGAATTCTATTACTTAAAATTTAATGCAATTAAAAAATTAGCTTCGAAAGAAGTCAGATTGGAGCACAATAAGAAGTTTTTTTTTTTTTTCACTTGGAGCAATTTGATTCCTTTTCTTCTCTAAATGTTTGCTTTACTTCCAGTACATTCTTAAATCTGGAGAAGGTGTGGCCACTGTCTGCCTCAGTGGATTTATTGCTTTGGATGTGCCTCCTCCTCGCGGTCCTTTATGGTACGATATCTTGGCCATATTAGCATTCATCTCCGACGCAAAATATATATATATATATATATATATATATATATTAAGTTGTATCTTATGCCAAAAAATGTATATGTGTATGCAGGATCCTTGGAGATGTATTCATGGGTGTGTATCATACAGTGTTTGACTATGGTAACCTCCGAGTCGGCTTTGCTGAAGCTGCTTAGTCTCTCAGTTGCTGCAAATAACACCTAGAGGTTCTGTATGTTGTGTGAAGTGTGAACTGCTTAGTCTCTCTCATTGTACACTATCCATATATTTGTGATTACTATCATGAAGAGATGTTATACTTCTTCCATATGCTTTTCTATTTGAGCATTGAACCATTCTTAGGTGAATGGAATGCATCAATTTGAGATGGGTTTATGCATTTTTTTCTTTTTTCCGGAAATTAAATAAATTTTCGGAAATTAGGGTTTATACATTTAGGAATTATAATTGGCATTCCACACCATGAGATGCCTAAAAGTATAAATCAAATATTTGCATTCCCTGAACATGTTAAAAAATGTTCTTCAAAATAGATTTCATCTTTGATCCAGTGTTTGGTTGGGAACAAAAGTTTTCTGCTCAGAAGCATCAAACAAAAAAACAAGTTTTTGAACAAACAAAATGTTTTCAAAGAATTATAAAAGTCATTTCAAAATCTTTTGTTAATTAAGAATCCAGATGACTTACAACCAAACAAGTTTTTGAACAGTTTAATGATTTCTAAATAAAATTATTCTTAAAAAACTAAACCAAACACACCCGTAACATTTATAATTAATTAATAAAAGTTTCTAAAAGCCTTATTGGATATTTTATTCTCTATACAATTTTAGCATTTTTCAATATTATTCACCTTATTCCAATGATAATATATTATTTTATTTATGAAATTATACGAGAAATTATGGATCTATTTGTTTCACCGTAAAATAATTACATGGTTAATGTTTTTCCGTCATTCATTTTTCTGTGTTTGGCTTAAAGTAGATATTTCATTTTTTTTTTTTTTTTTTTTTTTTTGATAAGTAAAATTTTATAAAGAAATCGCTCGGAAGGGGAGCGAAACCGAAAGACAAACAAAAGGCCAAGAAGCGCCTCAAGCTTTCAAAGAGGCCAAAAGAACAACAATCTCCTCTATAGATCTATAATCTCTCCCTGAAACCTAACAAAAAAGGTTGGAAATAATAAAAAACTTAAGCATAGAAGAAGGCTTCTCCTTTCCATCGAAATAGCGCCGATTTCTCTCGAGCTAAATACACCACCAAATACAAAGAGGTGCAGTCCTCCAAGCGTCATGAATGACAGCCCCCACTGAGAATCCTCTCCAAGCCTCAATCAACCCTCTAGAGGAGCAAGGCATGACCCAAGGGATCCCAAACAAACCAAGCATTAAATCCCAACAATCCCTAGCCATGCTGCAATATAACAGAAGGTGATCCACAGTCTCCTCGTTGCTCCGACACAAATAACATCAATTAACCACCACCTATTTCTTTCTCCTCAAATTATCCTGAGTAAGAATCTTACCCAAGACAGAGGTCCAAGCAAAGAAGGCTACATTGAGATGAGCCTTAGACTGCTAAATAGACTTCCAAGGGAAAGGACCACCAAAGCCAAGCGTAAGACACCTGAAAAAGGACCGAACCTCGAAACGGCCCTGGGAGTTAGGATCCCAAAGCCAACAATCCGAATCTCCATCTGTAATCATCTGGCGGAATAACAAATCCAAAAAGCGAGTAACCTCCTCAATCTCCCAATCCTGAAAATGCCTTCTAAACTAAACATCCCAAGTCAGTCTCCCGTTATCAAGATGATAACAGTCAATCACCATGGCCTGTTTATGAGAAGCAATCCTGAAAAGCCGAGGGAAAGCAAGAGCAAGAGGACGCTCTTCACACCAAAGATCCTCCCAATATCTGATCCTCCTCCTATCCCGAATCTGAAAACGAACATGTTTGCTGAACTCATCCCACCCTTTTCGGATGAAAGACCACACCCCTACCCCTCTAGGACCACGCACCTCAAAAAAACTCCATCCTCCAAAAGTCTCTCCAAATTTGATCGTAATAACCCTCCTCTAAAGCCAACTCCTCTCAACCCCAAACCTCCAAAGCCATTTCCCAAGGAGAGCCTTTTATAAAGGCAGCAATCTCCTAATTCCCAAACCTCCACTCCGAATTGGACAACACACTTGATCCTAACGAACCAAATGATACTTGAACTCTTCGTGTCCCCCCCTCCCCCCCAAAAAAAAAAGAAAAGAAAATTGCGCTGTAATCTCTCAATTCTTTTAGCCACAGAAGAAGGAATCTAAAAGAGAGATGAAATACGTGGGGAGGCAAGAAAGGGTACTTTTAATTAGAGTGACCCAGCCCCCTTTGGAGAGGTACTGCTTCTTCCATCCCGCCAATCTTTTCTCAAATATTTCCACAACCGGATCCCAGCTTCCCACATACCTCGAAGGAACTCCCAGGGGGAACCCTAAGTAAGAAATGGGAAAAAAGTCAATGCGACATCCAAGAATCTGAGCAAACATCTCGATTTTAGGGACCTCCCCAATCGGCAAAAGAATGCTTTTTCCGACATTAATCTTTAGCCCAGAAACCACTTGGAACCAAATCAAAATGCATCTCAAATATCTTAACTGGGACGCATTCACATCACAAAACACTAAAATGTCATCGACGAACATCAAGTGGGAGATCTCCAACTGACTAGCAGCATCCCTACCAACCCGAAAACCTCTCAAAAAGCCTAACTCAACTGCCCTCTTAATCAATTTGCTAAGAGCCTCCATCATAAAAAGGAACAAGAAAGGAAGAAACCCATCGGAGCCCTATTCACAAGGACAGATAAGCGAGCACTAGAAATGCAAAAAAGGATCCATCTCATCCACCGCGCACTGAACCCCATCCTCTCCATCAAGTAAAGAAGGAAACTCCAGCTCACATGATCGTACGCCTTCTCAATGTCCAGCTTACACAAAACACCCGGATGACCACTATTCAACTTGGAATCCACACATTCATTAGCAATAAGAACTGAATCTAAAATCTGACGACCCCCCACAAAGGCATTTTGAGAATCAGAAATGATACCATCCAAAACCTTCCTCAACCTAGAAGCCAGGACTTTAGTAATTAACTTGTAAAAACACCTCACCAAACTGATAGGGCGAAAATCCCTAACATCTAGCGCCCCTCCCTTTTTCGGGATGAGAGCAATAAAAGTGGCATTTAGCCTCTTCTCAAAAGAGCCCTGAGCATGGAAAGCATGAAAAAAAACCCTATCACCTCCTCACGAACCACTTCCTAACACTCCAAAAGGAACCGCATGGAAAAACCATCTGAACCTGGGGCTTTGTCCCCGTTACAGCTCTTCAGCGTAGACAAAACTTCCTCTTCAAAAAAAGGCTCCTCCAGAACAAAGCACTCCTCACTCGAAATAGAGTCAAAATGAAGCCCTGCAAGTAAAGGTCTCCAACCAACAGATTCTGTAAGCAACATTGAGTAAAAATCGACAATACCCTTACAAATCTCTTCCTCCTTACAAAATGTCACCCCATCCACCCGGATCCTCCCAATGTGATTGCCACTTCTATGAGCATTGGTAAGTCTATGTAAAAACTTAGTGTTATTGTCGCCCTCCTTAAGCCACAAGGCTCGAGACTTTTGCCTCCATGAAATCTCTTCCATGACAGCAATTTCAGCAAACTCTGCCTGACACTCCACCCTCCTAAGTTTCAGGGACTCCGTCAAACTGCCCTGGCCCTCCATCCGATCAATCTCAGCAATCTCTGAAAAAACACGATTTTTCCTCCACACCAGATTACCGAAATCCTCTTTGTTCCAGACTTTTAAATCATTCTTCAAAAGACGAAACTTATAAGTAAGAGAATAACTTAAGGTGCCAACCACACCAAACCCCACCCACCAGGATCGAACACGCTCCAGAAAACCTTCAGCCTTAAGCCACATATTCTCAAATCTGAAAGGGGATCTTTTGCTACGCAAACCACCACAATGCATTATCAAAGGGACATGATCAGAAATAGGACGAGCCAAAGTAGCCTGAACAACATCGGAAAACTTCACCTCCTAATCACTTAACACAAGGAACTTGTCAAGTCGAGATAAGGTAAGAGGAGAACACCCACTAGACCACCCACTAAAGGCAGATCAAACAACTCCGCTTCATCAATGAACTTTGAAAAAGACTCCATGACAACCGTCCATCTGCCCCCCGTAGACCTTTCAAAAGGAGAGCGAACAACATTGAAATCCTTTCTAATACACCAAGGCAACGACCATCTCCTTTGAACATTGCCGAACTTCTTCCATAAAAGATGACGCACACTATCCTCTGTAGGACCATAAACCCCAGAGAAAACCCGGCAAAAGCCATCCTCCAACAAAGATAGAATGCAAGAGGCAGAAAAAAGCCCCACTTGAAAGTCCTTTAAAGAGACCCACCGATTGCTTTACATAATCAGAATACCACCCGAAGAACCAACCGCATCCAAAGCAAGCCACTCCACAAATCTTCCCCCCTCCCCAAACAAGCTACGCACCATCAAGTTCGTCATTGAAGCAATTTTGGTTTCTTGAAGGCAAACCACATGATCTCCCTCTTTACGAATCACCGACTTCACAACTCTTCTTCTAGCCCAGTCATTAAAACCCCGGACATTCCATGAAAGAATTCGCAGCTTCATCTTCCACTCTCCCTCTCCCTGGACCCCCTATTCCTCCTCTCATAAGCAAAAAAATCAGAGAGGCTCCGCAACTCCCTCTCCCCCCTCCCAATTAAAGCACCGACCCTTCCTCCCGCCCTATTTAAAAGCTGAGTATCAAGAACATTATGGAACAACCTCATCGCCTCATCTAACCTAACTTTAAAAGAAACACCCAAAAGAGAACCCACCTCCCCACTCTTATCTCTCAATCATTCCTCCTCCATACAATTCGTTCCCTCATCTGCACCAGAAAACCTCCCACTCTCACCTTCCGGTCGAATAACAGCCAAAGGAACAACCATATCAACCTCAGCCTCATTCCCCTCCCACTGGACCAGCCCCAATTCCTCAACAAAGGAATAGACTGCATTTCCCTCCCAAGCATCAGAAAAAGGAGGAGAACAACAAGTCAACGGAGTCACAACCTCTTCATCAGGCTCAGAATTTCTAGAATCACACTGCAAACCCTTCAAGGCCAAATGGTCCCGTAACTCATTCAACAAAACAGTAGTTGTAGCCTCATCAAGCTTGATCCTCACATTTTTCCCCACACAAACAGAAACTCATTCGCAACAACTATCACACTGTCGAGATAAGCCTAGCTCGTAAGAACACCCTCTACCATGCCGATCCACATAAGTAGGAACAGGACACTCCTTAAGAGCCGGAGACAATAAATTAGAAACAGAGGACAACACACCTTTCTTAGCCCCTACACTCTTTTGATTCACCTCACAGGGGTAAGAAGAAAAAGAAAAGAAGGTTGAAAAACAACTTATCCATGAGAAGAGATGGACTTATTCGTATCAATAGCATTCTGCAGACACGGCACCCACTTTAGCTTCTCCTTCCTTGACCATCTTCTACGGAATTAAGGAAGAGAAATCTTCTTCTTCAAACGGTGCCCATAAACTGGTCCCTTTGGACGACGACCATCACTGGAATCAGGCAAAGGACCGGATTGCTCTTTACCATGGTCGATCACTGCAGGAACCAATGGCCCATGACCCAGATCCAAAGACCTAATAGTAGAAATATCCAAATCAAACCCAGAACAAGCAACAATCGAACCTAGTCCACTTTGAAGCCCATGACCCAAATCCAAAGACCCATTAACAAAAGATTGATGGACCATCGCACCTTCTATTAGTCCACAAGAAGATGGGAGAGAAACGTCCAAACCCATTTACACTGGCCTAGAGTCAGTAGAACCAAAAGAAGGCCCAACCAATTGTCCACAAGAAGAAGCTCCAGAAACCCTTCTCACCGGCCCACCATTAGGCCCAGAGACAGTATGAACCCCAGCCTTTGAAGCCCAAGAATTTGAAAACGAGTTGGTTCCAACTGTAAAGCACTTGGAACGACCGCCTCCTAAGCGCCAACCACGTGTCTGGTTGGCAACTCTCCCCCACCCACGCGCTTAATTCACGTGAAACACACCACGGTCGAGTCCCTGATCCTACCTCTGCAAAAAGGCTGATGGCTAAGCCCGGTAAAAACTCCCCCTTTCTGAAAACCCTGACCACCAACTTGACGGCGACGATCAACCATAGCCAGCGAACCTTCCTTTCGATTCAGAGAAGAAATCCGACGAAAGCACTCCGTATTGCGAACCCAAAGCGCATCCCTCCATTCCTTCCATCTCTGAAACTCAGCCAGGCCCTTCCTCCCCATTAATTCCCACCTCAAGCAATTAGATTCCTTAAGTAAGTGTGAACCATCCCCTCTTTCCAAATTATTCGTCGTCGGGACAAGATTGGGAAACTTCTCCTCCCACAACGCCACTTTATAGTAGAGCTGATCATCGTGAATGAAAACAAAAGGAGGGCAGACTTTACCGTCCGACATTGTGATACAGATCCTTTCAGTGTCAATAGTTTCATCAGCATCCACCCAAATAAACCCTCCGCACAAATCACCGACTGTAATAAACAAGGCATGACTCCATAAGTGAAGAGGAAGACCATACAACATCAACACCTTTAACCCCATACCCTTCATCACTCTAGAACACCCCACCCTAAAGCTCCACTTGTCCACTCGTAAAATTGTCTTCCCCCATTCACGACGACCCTCTTTAAGTACACGAGAAGCTTCTGCCGGAGAGGGAAACCGAAAGAGCAATAGAGAATTTGGCAGAGTGAAACAACCACTCCGGAGGAAACCTTGCAAACTCGAGAAGCCCAAGCCACGATCTGAGCCTTATCACCCACTTCCTTATCAAATTTCCCAGCCAAACACGATCGGAGATCTGTCTTCTTCTTCCAACCAAATCATCATCCAAAAAGATCGAAGAACCTTTGTAAGTAAATGCAAATCTCACAGTTCCTCCCTGAAACAAACGAGGCAACCTAGCAACATCTAAGAACGAACGCATGCCAAAAGATGAAAAGGACAACAAACATAGACTAAAAAGACCCAACAGAGAAAGAAAAACACAAAAGGAAGAGTAGCAGAGGATTTCACCGGAGTTTAAGACTCTGGTGACAGGTCGGAGTAGTAGACTCCAGCCGCATATTTACCACGACAAGCTTTCTCCGATGGGCTCACTCCAAATTTTTTAGTTTGACATTTCTTCAAACACAATTACAAAACCATATTTTGTGTGTTAATTGCAGAAGAGTAATCTGCTTCTAGAGCTAGAATATGCATACATAAATATATACGTGTATATAGTACTTGTATTTTTTTTGGGTAAATATGAGGACTGAGAAGTGAGATGGATTTGGTTGAAGATGCATACGGAAGTTTTCCAGCGTTTTAACGTAAAATAATTTACAATAAAAATGCGTATCCAACTTTTCATTGTGCTAAACACTGGAAATTGAGGAAAACAATTTCCAAAAAATATTTTACGGTGAAATCACAACCCGAGTTATGAAATTACCACCACCAACAAATTCACAGCATTAAGTTGCACTCGAGTACATGTAAATACCAAGAAATCATATCAACACTATCTTTGCACAAATGCATGGGAAGAAAGTACCTTACAATCTAGTTCCAGAAAGAAAAAAAGGACAAGAAGAAATTATCCCTATACATCGCTTCGGACTACACTCACCATCCAAATGGTGGGACTGCCAGAATTTGTCTGGATGACCCCTTCATTGGATAAATTTGTATAATTTAGGGCACAGGTCACAAATTGTTTTCGACTTTGAAATACATTAACAATAAGCAATGTAAACGTTAATTAGGGTACAATTCTTCCTATCCATATAACTTGACCGATGCCTAGCAGAAGGGGTTAGACTTCTCTATTCTTCATCGCTATCATTACTGAAAACCGACGCAACAGCTGCTTTTGGCTTCTTTGCAGCATTACTGACTGAACTCTGTTTAACAAAGGACAAAGCAACAGAGATTAGCCAGAAGGTCTAGTAACCATCAACAACCGAAGTTAATCTACATGCCTTCACTTAAATTACCTGTATCAATTGCACAACTGTAAAGGGAGTGAAGCTTAGGAGGTGCTAATTGATATTCGGTAAAATTCTTTTTACTTATGAGACTACCAGAAAGTGAAAAGAAAACTGAGAATCCGTGATGTGCAAGTTTTCTTCTGCTTGAAATAGCAAGAATTTCCATAGGTTTGTTGCTATTTCAATTTATGGTGGTTATCACAATAGGGGTTTGTTGGTGAAAATAATTATCCAAGGGAAAAAAAATATCAAATACTTTGTTTTTACAAGAAATAGCCAATTGCATTTAACACAAGCAAACTGCATTTCTACTTCTAGCAAAGTTCTGCTCGAGGTGCTGTAATACACTAAAAGCAAGAAAAGAACTCACGATATTCTTAACTAAGCAGAGTGCTGTAATACACTAAAAGCAAGAAAAGAACTCACGATATTCTTAACTAAGCAGAATAGTTTGCATTATTAAACAAACTCGATGGTAATAGTTGCACAAACATAACATAAACTAAAAGTGGCAATAGTAAAAATGTGATTGTTACCCAAAATGCAACTTGAAAATACCTTGGATGTGCCACCTTTTGAGGAAAACCCGAACTTTAAAGCCTTCCGCTGATCTTGAACGGCAAGTGCACTAGCACTTTTAAGTGCAGTGGAAACCGGAGGCGCTCCAGATTGTTCTTGTTGTTGCTGCTGTTGCTGCTGCTGCTTATGAGCATCAGCCCTGATTGGTATGAAATACAAAGATGAAAAAAAATAAAAATAATTAATCCTCTAAAGATAAATAAAAGTCACCCAGAAGGAAAAGAAAATTAAAATATAGGCACAGTTCAATTTTTTATTTTTTATTTTTTTTATAATTTTTTTTTTTCTAAATTAAAAAAATCCAGGAGAGCACAACAGATGCATACATCTGAGCAAACTTGGCCATCTCCCTCTCTTGGCGTTGTTGTTCTCGTTTTTGCCTGTCATCACGACTGCTACTTCCATGCATATCTCTCATATCTTTAAAACGCTGTAAACAACACACCAAGTTAAGAGCAGAATTAGACCGGCTAAAATTATAACGGTAACAAAAAATCCAACTTATCAGTGCATAAAAGACCTATTACCTTTCGGTGATTGTGATCATATGAACTCAGGTGAGCTTCGAACTCCATAGCCAGTTTGTATTGCTTGTTGCAGAGCTCACAATAAAAAACCTTCCGTATTTCTTTCACCTCAGTTTGAATTTTCTGCTCCCGTTCTGCTAAAACCTGGATTTTCATAATGTGCAGGAAGCAGGCAGTAGAAGCCACCAGTAATAAAAACTGCACGAAATTCTCAAGACCTTCCAAAGTTGATGTTCCCTACCATTCCCGTCAAAAGACACACATATATGCTATATGCTGCCTTCTGCTATTAAATGTATGTTTCAGAAAAAGTAAAGCATCAACCTCAAATTATCTATTGTTGGTAACATTTACAACTACTACCTACAAGTTTGAAGGCATACCTCCCGCTTCTTTGCAACTTCCTCCGTCTCCTCTAACTCAATATCAAGTTTTTTGCGCTGGATATTTTCTTCTGCAGTAAAAAAATCATCCTCCTCTTGTTTTCCAATCCCTAATTTTGGATCTCTTATCCCGGATCTTATAGGTTCAATTATTCCTACACACAAACCATAGAGAGAGGAAATGAATATCAGAACATCATAACTAGAATAACAAATAAGGGAATCTATGTGTTAAACACCGACAGAATAAATGGAATGCACTCTAAGTCAGGCCTCCATGGTTCAGAACCCAAAAATAGGAGGGGAGAGGGGGTGGCCAGTGTTATTAAAGGCGCTAGAGGTCTTTTGGAGCCTAGGCGCACGGCGAGGCGCCCACGTAAGTGAAGTGAGGCGCACATTGAAATTATAAACAACCATAAAAGCATTCATATCTCATAAGTCATATCAATATTCTAAAAATTAATATCAAATATAAAAAAGTAAATCCATCAACTATATAAGCATTCAAGAACCATAAAACATAGCACAAATTTGTTTTCTTGAAAGGCAAAACAAAATTTGTTTTTTGAAAGGAAAAACAGAGCACAAAAAGAAATAAATCAAAATAAATAAATAAATATCTGTTAACAAGAAAAGAAAATAAAAATAGAGCACAAAAAAAAAAAGACAGAGAGGAGAACTAGACGAAGAGAGAGGAGTAAACAAAGATGAGAAGAGAGGAGAGAGAAGTAGAGGAGAAGAGAGAGAAGAAGAAGAAAGAACTGACATGGCTTCATCGTTCATCTCTACAACTAGGGTTTTGTCATTGATCTCACAGTCTCTCCTTCAATGTTCGGTTGACACTTTGCCTCTTGGGCTTTCTTATTTGTTTATTCTTTTTAACAAAAGTTCCTCCTCTCATACGCTTAGGCTTTCTTATTTATTTATTAAGTTGCCAAATATACCCTTTTTCGCTTAAGAAAGAGAATAATCATTTTTCAAAAAAAAAAAAAAAAAGCAGTGAGGCTCGCCTAGGTGCACCTGACAAATAGGAAGAGGCGTAACCGAGGCGTGTGTGCCTAGTAAACATCAGTGCGCCTGGGATGACAACAGGTGCTAGACCTGCACCTCGAGCCTAGGCGCGCCTTTAACAACACTGGGGGTGGCAAAAGGTAAGACATGTAATTCTTTACTCCACTCAGGAAAACAACAAACACACACACACACAACTGTTTTAACTTAGCATGCAAACCAAAAAAATCAGAAACATAAGGATCAAGAATTAACCTTAATTGATATTTAGAATCTTGGAGGTTATTTGACAAATCATCTAAGGACAGGCTTTTGCCAAGCAATTTAATAAATTTGTCCACAAAAAAAATGCTTCTGCTTGTAACGCAGAGTTCAACTAACAGACTGAAGCTAGAATTCAGATTTCAGGACAATGAAATTGTTAACAGAATTGCAAGAGATGGGAACATGTTAAAATATTTCCATATCTTCATCAGCATATCTCACACAGAAAACAAAAATAATGTAACTTGATGGTGAAAAAAGAAAAAAGAAATTTCAGCAGCTCCATTAAATTTTAGCAAAACCCAAAATAACCTATTGATACAAAATAGTGTACTGAGTATGGCGTAAGCTTGTGGTATTTGCCTACAATTAGAAACATGTCTATTGGATAATGGATGCTAAAACAATAAAAGATGTTGCACAAGCCTAATGAATATGCTCAAATTAGGTTCTTGGATGAGATCATGTTTGATTGATGGTTGAATAGCACAATACTCTAAGATCCTCAACATAATGAATTAGAATAATTAGGTTCAAAATGAATCATAAAATTAATAAACTGGATGGATATAAGGGTTTAAATTATTGTCAAACTGCAATTTGGGATTCGTTAATAGCTTTTTCTGTAAAATAATAATAATAAATAAATAATTTTTTTTTGAAAGGTAAAGTGATTTTATTGATATAAAAACTATATGATAGAAAGCCTGAGAAAGGCTAAGAACCACAATCCCAAAAAAATGATAAATTTTAGCATCGAGAAAAGTTTATGGAATTTGTATTGTTTACAAAATAAATGCTGGAAATTATATTCAGAGTTTCAAGCAAACGCTTTTAGTTAATTGCTAATTAGCTTCTCGACTTTTATTTTGTATATAAGAATAGCATATATAATTTCCAACATATTACTTTTATTTATTTTCAACATATTACTCTTTGTCATTCAGGTTTTTTATTTATTTATTTTTATACATATTACTTTTTATTGTCATTCAATTGACATTCTTCGATATTGGGATTTACTAGATTAAGAGACGCATTGGAAATTGATTTTTGGAATGATGTATCATGAAACTTCAGGAGGCTTGATAGCCTTTTACACATATGCTACAATTCATAATCAATATTTCCTACCCATCTAACCAAACCATAAAAATGGTGAAAAGGTTTGAGTAGAAAGGATGAGCAGAAAAAAGTTTATCCATTTTTATGGTTTGGTTAGATTGGGTAGGAAATATTGATCATGAATTGTAGCATATATGCAAAAGGCTATCAAGCTTACTGAAGTTTCATGATACATCATTTCCATAAATAAATATCCAATGCATCTCTTAACCTAGTAAATCCCAATATCCGAGAATGTCAACTGAATGACAATAAAAAGTAATATATATTTAAAAATAAAAAAAAAAACTGAATGGCAGCAAAGAGTAACAATTATAGTCATATAGAAAATAGAAGTCGGTAAGCTAATTAGCAATTAACTCAAAACGTTTGCTTCAAACTCTGAATATAATTTCCAATATTGATTTGGCAAACAATACAAGCTCCGTGTACTTTTCTCGATGCTAAAAGTTAAAACAATTTTCTTTTTTTACAGAAAAGCTATTAACAAATCCCAAATTGCAGTGTGCAACATAAGACAGTAGTAATGTATATTAGAATTGACAATAAAAATAAGGTATTCACTGACAATCTCTATCAACAGCATAAGATATCTGCATACATCTCCAGTAAAAAAGTACTAATCATGGTATGAGAATATTATTGACATCAGATGAACATATATCCAGACGACTACATGAGACAGGCCGCTAACAGTATGTAGTAATGACAATAGATATATAATATGCAATCCATATCATTCCACCAATACACATACCTTGCTCATCCTTTCCAAGACCCTTGCCTTTCCAACCCATTTTCTGGAGAAGCCTAAACCCAACGTTAGATGATGTCAATTGTGTGTCTAGCGATGCTTGTTCCACATTATCTAGATCTACATTTTCTGTTGGCTTTTGATTTATTGGCAGGCGGAACTCCTCTGCAAACTCCTCAATAATGGAATCTGTATACGCCTACAACATATAATGCAGCATATGCCCATCATCATATCAGAATCACCACCAGTAATATGTCTTCATAAAGTATTTGCAAACAAGTAGAATTACGATGCAGAATTCAACTCAAGTACAAAGTAAGTATCTGACAAAAATCCATGTCGGATGTGCGACATACACTACAAGTATAAAAAATAGATATGTCTCTGAAACTCTTACACATGACCAACACGATCATAATTTATAAATAAAATTATCAACTTTTCGACACATGGTCAATGTTTCTTTAAACGCTCATCAACATGTGACAGATAAACTTAGGACACTGTTGTGACTTACCTTCAGTGTATAATGAAAAGAACAATTGTAAAGAGTGTGATACATAGGCTAGGAGATTCCATAATAATGAGTATATATATATGTGTTTGTGTGTGTGTGTGTGTGTGTGTGTGTGTATCACTTGCAACTAAAGTCTCCTTATTTAATGATTCACAACTGAATATCTCCTTAACGAATTACAATTAAATTCACTTAGCTCCAGCAAAATGGATCAGCATTGATAGCATTTTTATATAAGAATAGTGTTGATAAAATTTCATAATACCATAAGAAATTCTACCAACGAATGGATCATTCAACAATCAACAATACATCTAAGTAGCATTGGGGGATCAACATAAGCTGGTCAACTAAGATAATGTAATCCAAATAAGAAAAGCATCAAAGTAGCTAGAATTAGAAAACATGGTAAGCTATATTATTCTACGTTGCCACATCCCAACAAAGTCAAAAATGATCTTGATAAGTATTATATACAAGAACACATCTTTCAAATGTAATTTACAAACCACTAGCACAAAAAAACACCAACAAAGGAGCCAACAAAAGTCCAACCTGGGAATTCATTAACATATTCTTACCTCCTCCATCTTCAGTTGTTGTTTATCTCTAGCGTGCATTTCTTTTCTGCCAGAATAGGAGGCAAAAAATAAATCAAAATGGCTGAAACTTCAGGAATCAGTATAGAAAAAATGCATTCATGATTTTATCGGATTGATTATTATTCATGAAATTCAATCATGGTGAACGGAATAATCTGAAAATTTTACCGAGTCAAAAATCATGCAAGATAACAAAAACCTCTATTCAACTAAACGGCTACACCTAATACAACTCTTTGCCATAAATCCTCTCTATGGAAACTGAAACAGCATAAAACGATTCAAATTTCATCTTGAACTACCCTTACTCTTCTCAGCAACTAGAGACTGATAGTTGCCTCATTGCCATGGGGCAGAAATACTAAAACAAATTTTAAAATACGCTTCTTAAATTTTCAGTAACTTGAATATGATCAAACTAACCTAGACATTTTTTTTTTGCAGGCAAAACATATATAGACACACACACATACACACACACACACACACACACACACATATATATATCAAGATACACAAATATTTAATTTCTATATGCTTCTGAAATTTTCAAAAACCAAAATAGATGCAGCGCAATTTTAGCATACTAAACGAGCCAAACACGTTTTAATTGACTAATATGTTCCAAGATCCACAATCCTTCACGTATACAAATTCCTTTTTCCAGGCAAACATATATAGACATATATACACACACACACAATTACGTAATATTTAATTTCTTTATATTTCATCTAGAATTTAAAATTACCCTTCAATGAGCTCTCGCATTCAACCGCACATCAAAACAAACTTAATTCGATAATTTCATGATCTAAGCTTTGATCTTTGGTGCAATCCTCAAATTAGAAAAAAAAAAAAAAATCAAAACTTGCTTTAGATTTATCATAAGGTCACTCTAGGGTCCGAATCTGACATGACACACACAAAATAAACAAATACACGTGTTCATATACACATAGATGTACAGATACATATATATATTGTAGATTCACCTGAATGAAGAATCTTCGCCGCCGACAAGCAAAACGTTCCGATATCTTTCTCGCTCGCGTTTCTGCGTTGAGTCGATCAACACGGAACCCCAAAAGTAAAAGAGCGAGAGATTTAGGGTTTTGATAGTATTACCTTGTGGTGAGGTATTTTAAGTCACGGGTAGGTTATATCACAGTCCGGCCTTGCTTGGAGTCTTGCTAGGCCCAAATCCAGTAAATTGGGCCGACTAATTAGTTTTTCTTTGCATGTGATCGGCTAAATAAGGTTCTTTTTCAGTTTAAATAAATTGACTGTCTGGGCTCAGCCCAAACAAATCTTCACCTGTAAATACTTGGGATTTTTATTTTTAATTGACAAAAAACTCAAAACACCTATTTGTCTTGAATTCAAATTCCCACCTTCCACGGGATGCGGTAGAGGAGAAGAAAGGAAAGGATATGCCACTAGACTATGATTAGCTCGAATTTTGTTGAACTTGATATTTTATGTCATATACATCAACATATGTTTCATCATCATTTTTTATTTATCCCTTCTAAATGTAGTTGGTCACATAAAAAAAAAAAAAAATTTCCATTCTTTTCTATTATACATATTATATTTCTTTTGGATTTATTTTGACCTTTATGATTTAATCCATGTAAGTTTTGGTCTTTGTCACATTACCTTCTGAGCAACCCCACACACACACACACACACATATATATATACTATTATTAAATGTATAAGGGACTTAAAGTGTTTCAAATCATTGATAAGTAAAATAATTAATCAAATAATAAAATACTCAAAATTCTTTAAAGTTAAAACAAATTACCAATTAAAATAAATAGATAATTGTTTAATAAAATAATTTACCAAATAATAAAATAAGTTATCAATTAAAATAGTAAATATACTTTTTTTTTCTTTCAATTATATGATTTGAAATTTTTCTCTTTGATTTTAATAATTATAATAATTTTCACAGCACATTATTTATTATTATTTATATTTTGGACTCTTATAAACGTAACAATTTATTTTTTAAAATTTCAATTATATTTTTCTTTGGACTCTTTCCTTAAATAATAACTTCCTTGCCTTTTTCCCAATACTAGTTCTATTTGGACTCTTAAAAACAAGTATATTTTTTATTTTCAAATATATTTCTCTTTGGACTAAAATTTACTTTTTCTTTCAATTCTATGATTTTAAATTTTTTCTCTTTGATTATAATAATTTTCACAGCATATTATTTATTATTATTTCTATTTTGGACTCTTATAAACATCATAATTTATTTTTTGTAATTCACAGCATATTATTTATTATTATTTCTATTTTGGACTCTTACAAACATCATAATTTATTTTTTTGTAATTTTCAATTTAATTTAAACTTTGAACAATTTTATTTTATTTAATTTTAAATTCAAAGTGTCAATTCACTTCCACAAGAAAACAAAAAAGAGATTCTGCTTTAGACAACCTGTACATTATTTAAGTTATTGTTGTAGTGTGAACGATACATTTAGAAATTCTACATTCCAATTAAACAAGAGTTTCAAGACCTAAATCTATATATTGATTAACCAACCAAAGCACGTGATGTGAGTACACAATAAAATAAAATAAAATTCAAAATATCAGAAGGCATCTTCAGAAGAGAATAGCTTTCATAATAATAAAATTGTTTATTTACGATATTTTCAAAAGAGAATGGCTTCTATCACTATAAAATTATTTATTTACAATCTACCTAATTATATATACCCTAAAACTAATTATATAAGAATATAGAATCCAATGGTTTGATTTGGATTAACAAAAGAGGTTGGTAAGAAGATACTGATCTAGAACATTAAGTGCAAGTGCATGCACATGAATTTTAATTAAAAGCTAATCGAAGTAAAGACTACCACCAACCTCTACACAATTTCCAGGCCCACCTATATAAAAAGGGCTAGTTCAATGTATATGACTCCCGACACTGTAGAGTGCGGAGTTTGAAGAGGGTTTGATGTGCGTGGTCTTACTTTCACATGTGAAAAGACCGTTTCTCATTTTAAAGTCGTGGCCTCCATGTCACAACGGAGCAACCTTTCAATTTTTCCGAGACACGCTTACTCTTTTTCTTATATGGTAAGCATAAGATATAATGAAGATTTGCTAACTAATTGGGTGATTAGAGCAAGAAAATATTATCTCAATGAGTGAAGGAACATGCTAAAGGCAATGGAATATTAGGGTTCCAAAGTTTGAAGTACAAGGAGGGCAACCCAACCTCAGAATGGCATGCATTAGGCTTTATGAAGAATCCTAAAAGATAGACAGCTTGCAAGCAATGTTGGTAGTGAAGAGGTTTAGATTCTTCTGGAAGAAGATTTTGAGTCCTTTTCAGTCATTTTCTTCTTTTAAAGTAGAAGGGTGTCCTTTCTGAACAGATGGCAAAACCCTAATTCATATTTATGAAATGTGCATTAGTATAAAAGTAAATAAATAAACTGAAGTTTACATAGCTTCTCAGATACAAATTATCCTTTTATTTTTTGAAATTACAAAAGTTTAAACAACTTATAAACTTAGGTATACATAAAAAGCACAAAATTATTCAATATTGGTCCAAATTACTCAAAGCCAGTAAGAACACCTCGCTTATACTTGATCTTGTATCTCTTTTAGCTTTCAAAGTGGATGTGAGAATTCGAGTCCCCTTGGGGAAAGAAAAAATGATAGACAATTTGGAGTAAATTTTAATGTGGTGTGATATTTTCCTACAAGATTAATTAATGTTTACTATTAAAGAGAGAAAAGAAAGTCCTTGGAAGACAGATTTTTTTCTCTGAGATGATAAGAAAGTCATTGGAAGACAGATTTTTTTCTCTTTGGTTAGTGGAGAGACCATAAAGTTGGTCATTGAAACAGCCCACCAAGCTTTTTTAGGTCATTTTTTTAAAGTAGAGGCCTGCAAGCCATATGCTTTGCGAATGCCAAAGTTTTACAGAAACTTTTACCAGCATAGTGTTCGATGTTAAGTCATTTCATTTTATCTAGACCGTACAAATAAATTAACAGTCTTGAACTCTCAAGATTCCAAAGGGTACCTCCCGCACTATAAATTCATGGTTGCTTCAATGCCATAGAAACTCAAGAGAGCACACAACTTTCTTCTAAGCATTTGAGGGTTGTCTTGTATAACCCAAAGAGAGAGAAATTTATGGGATTCATGGGAAGTGGCAATAGGCCAAAGAAGTCCTCTTCCTCCTCTGTTTTCAACATCTTCAAAGCTAAGAAGTCGTCTGCTAGGAAAGTCGAAGATGCAAGGGATGACAAAACTTGCAGAGTGTGGCCTAGTGACCAAGATGGCCGGTGGGTGGCTGAGCCTGGTATTGACAGGAAAGCCACAGCTTACATTGACAAGATCCGGGCTGCATCTTTACGTGTCTCGGAAACTTCACACCACACTGCTGCAGTTTCCAACTAGAATTGCATGGTTTTCAATCCTAAGAAGCCATTTCCACATTTGTTTTAACTCATATCTTGTATTTATTTCATAGTTTGCTTTCTAGTTTGTGTATTACATTTAATGAATCAATACTATGTTTGTTTGTTTTTTTTTTGTGCTCAAGCCTTTTTCTTCTTATCTTCACTTTATGTGTAGTCTGTTCTAAACATGTTACTATGATGGGGTTGGGGGTAACTTTTAAGTAGTTTTTATTCTGTTTTTTCATTATTAGCACAATTGTATTAGTATGATTAGTTTTGAAAGTTTGAGTGCATAGTTTTTGACGAGAGTTATTGCAGAACTAGGACATAGCTCTCATGTTGACTAAGTGTTTACAGAACTTGAGGGATAAATTTCATGTGTTTCCTTCAATCCCTTATCATAGTAAGTACATACAAATGTGTTATTGTAACTTCAATGCTAGCCTGAATGCATACATTTGAGTACAGATTATGCATAGCAATACTAGAGTGTCCTAACATTTGAAGTCATCAAAATTCCAACGAAGGGTGATTTTTTTTTTTTTTTTTTTTCCACTGGGATTATTATACATATAATTCTTCTCAGTCTTCACTTTTTGGTTTTCGAGTGTCTAAAATTTTTCTCCCTTTTTTGGAAGTGTTTTATTTCTTCTTCTTTGTAGAGTTTATGCTTCAAGAACAATTATAGTACTATTTTTTTTTTTGGTTCTCTAACTATAATATTACTAAATAATTTCAAAAGGTCCTTTGTAGAAGATGAGTTTTAGAAAAACCATTTTCCAAACAAAACAATTTTTTTTTGGGTAGTAAAACACTTCTTATGTTCTCTCAAAATCATTTGTATTAGGAATGCTATGTGGTTAACTCATTATTTTATAAAGGCCCTCATTATTCTGGATTCAAAATGGATTCAAGTGATTTATATCATGAATTGAAGCATAAACTTGGGACAACTGTGTCATGTGTTACTTTATGCTAGCTTGACTGCATAGTTTTAACAGAGTGTTTGAAAACCACATTGTGACAGTGAGACATGGTTGAAACCATGTTACGGTTTTATCCAGCTAAGTTGAGTCACTTCTTCAGCTTTTAAAGTGGCATCTAGGATACTGATTTAGAGAACATTGAAATTACTTCTGAGTGGAATCCACATAATTCCCATGAAGAATGGTGGTTGTTCTTCTGCGAGCATCATTGTACATTGTAGTACAGAATTATTGTTCTCAACCTTTCACTTTTTTGGGCTTTTGAGTTTCCAACAATACCCTACTTTTCCCTTCCTTTTTATCGAAATCTTGCTATTCATTCTTTCCACAATTTACCCTTCATGAATCAAAAAGGTTTTGATAGCAGAGAAAAATAATAAGACAAGAAAGAATTAATAAGAGCATATATAATTTTCAAGCTCATGCAGACAGTCCTAGGCAGACCAAAAAACTTAATTAGTCCTAAATTGAATTTGACAACTAAATTTTTGGGGTTCTGAGTTTCTAACAATTCCCTACTTTTCTCTTCCTTTTTTTTTTTGAAATCTTGCTCTTCCTTCTGTCCACAATTTACCCTTCATGAATCAAAATGGTTTGACGGCAGAGTAAAATACGAGGACATGAAGAAACTATTAAGAGCACATATAAAATTTCAAGCTCATGC